TGGATAATTTTTTCTTATTTTGTCTGTCATAGTTGACGTGTACCTATGATGAAAATTACAGGCCTCTCTCATATTTTTAAGTGGGAGAACTTGCACAATTGGTGGCTGACTAAATACTTTTTTCCCCCACTGTATCTAAGAGTGTTTGGATATTTTGGTTACTGGTTGCTTTCTGGTATTCTTCTGTGCTGTTTTGGGCCCATCTGTATGAATTTCTGATGTTGTACAGCTTACTGGGCTGTGAATGTGTGGTTGTTTGAGGAACAACATAATTTGGCTGTGATCAGACAGAGGTGTTAGTGGCTTGACGGTGAATGAGCTTAGAGAGAAAGGGTCAATGTCTGAATCATATAGTCTACTGTGCTGTGGCCAATAGGTGAGCAATAGGTGATTCTCCACAAAGTCTCCCGTAACCTACCATTGACAAAGTACAAACCCAGGCTTCGACAGAGCTGCAACAGATCCCTTCCGTTTTTGTTGATGGTGCTGTCACTGTTGTTTCTATGGGGGAGATTAAGACAGTTAGAAACAGTATGGCCGGTAATAAAGCTGTCCCCTCGTGTGGTCGTCAGATCAGGTAGTGTTCCTGTGCGCGCATTTGTGTCCCCACAGATGAGCATATTTCCCTGGGCCTGGAAATGGCATGTCTCTTCCTCAAGGGTGGGGAATATCTCCTCTGAGTAATATGGGGATTCTGAGGGGGGATATATATTGCGCAAAGGAACACATATTTTTCTGTCAGTACAAGTTCTTTTTTCAGTTTTAGCCAAATGTGATATTTACCAATTTTGAGGGGATCAATTCGGTTTTGTAGTTCGGATTTGTACCAAATGATCAATCCTCCAGAGTCTCTGCCTCTATTGACGGAGCTGTGTTTCTGTGACGGCACAATTACCTCTCTGTAGCCTGAGGGACAATGTCTGACTTACACCAGTGCCAAACTCTTCAGTCCAAAGGTTGATGAGTTTAGGCCCTGAATGTTCCACATGGTAGCTGATAGCGATTTCATGTTGCAAAAAGAAAGAACAGCACAGTCAAAAATACAGTAACTACTAACTACTAAGTTGTTAAGAGTGAGATAAACAGGATAACAGTGAACATTTGTTCTGTTATATATATATATATATACAGTTGAAGTCAGAAGTTTACATACACCTTAGCCAAATACATTTCAACTCAGTTTTTCACAATTCCTGACATTCAATCCTAGTAAAAATTCCCTGTCTTAGGTCAGTTAGGATCACCACTTTATTTTAAGAATGTGAAATGTCAGAATAATAGTAGAGAGAATGATTTATTTCAGCTTTTATTTCTTTCATCACATTCCCAGTGGGTCAGATGTTTACATACACTCAATTAGTATTTGGTAGCATTGCCTTTAAATTGTTTAAATTTGGTCAAACATTTCAGGTAGCCTTCCACAAGCTTCCCACAATAATTTGGGTGAATTTTGGCCTATTCCTCCTGACAGAGCTGGTGTAACTGAGTCAGGTTTGTAGGCCTCCTTGCTCGCACACGTTTTTTCAGTTTTGCCCACACATTATCTATAGGACTGAGGTCAGGGCTTTGTATTGGCCACTCCAATACCTTGACTTTGTTGTCCTTAAGCCATTTTGCCACAACTTTGGAAGTATGCTTGGGGTCATTGTCTATTTGGAAGACCCATTTGCGACCAAGCTTTAACTTCCTGACTGATGTCTTGAGATGTTGCTTCAATATATCCACATAGTTTTCCTTCCTCATGATGCCATCTATTTTGTGAAGTGCACCAGTCCCTCCTGCAGCAAAGCACCCCCACAGCATGATGCTGCCACCCCCGTGCTTCACGGTTGGGATGGTGTTCTTTGTCTTGCAAGGCACCCTCTTTTTCCTCCAAACATAACGATGGTCATTATGGACATTTCTCCAAAAAGTATGATCTTTGTCCCCATGTGCAGTTGCAAACCGTAGTCTGGCTTTTTTATTGCGGTTTTGGAGCAGTGGCTTCTTCCTTGCTGAGCGGCCTTTCAGATTATGTCGATATAGGACTCGTTTTACTGTGGATATAGATACTTTTGTACCTGTTTCCTCCAGCATCTTCACAAGGTCCTTTGCTTTGTTCTGGGATTGATTTTACTTGTGCCATGCACAAAGTAGATGTCCTAACCGACTTGCCAAAACTATAGTTTGTTAACAAGAAATGTGTGGAGTGGTTGAAAAACAAGTTTTAATGACTCCAACCTAAGTGTATGTAAACTTCCGACTTCAACTGTATATTCCTTTTCATTGAACAAGTAAAATTTTAGTACAGTGTGTGTGTGCGTGTGTGCATGCGTTTAGTGCAGTTTAGTGCAGATGTATTGGAGGAGCTGTTTAATCTCACTCAGTCCTACAGGGTTCTCTTGTCCTCTGAGGACCTCCGCGTAGCTGCGCTGGTCCTGTTGTTGGGCCCTGTGGAGTGGGGCCAGGTCTGGGCCGGGGTGCTTCCTCTCTGGTCTGGTAGAGGTGGTGGTCTGGTGCAGGGGAGTAGGCTGGGCCCGGTCCAGTCTGGCTAAGCCGATGGAAGTGGTGATGCTCTGGTGGTGGGTGCGGCCTGTGGGGTGCGCTGGGTCTGGTGGGGCGTTGAGGGGGCCTGGGGCTCCTTGGTGGTGCAGTGGTCTGATAGGGGTCTCTGGGTGGTCCTCTGTCCAGTGCGGCATTCGGGTGTTTGTCTACCAAGTGCCACATCCTTTAGAGACTTGGCAAGCATCCCTACTGTCTGCTTCCTCAGGTGGGAGTGGTTATGCAGATGCTCTGGGGTGATTGTTGGGTAGTGAGCAACGTGCACGTTCGGGAGTAGGCCATACCCTCTGGTGATGTCAGCGTTGACTTTCTGAATGGTACGGGGATGAAAGTCTTTGCATGGCAGCAGAGTGGAGATGGTGATGTGGGAGTTGGGGAACCACTCAGAGGCCCTCTCTGCTACTCTGTTGACCAGGCTGCCTACTCTCTCCTGCTCCTCTCGCAGGTTGTTGGTGCCGGTGTGAATAATAATGTGGCCTGGTGTGCCAAAGTCAGGCTGGGACAGGATGTGGAGTGCATCCTCTGTTTTTGGGCACCATATTTTGGACACCTTGTGGTGGGGGAAGAGTTTATCCTCTTGGATGAATTTCCCATTTGAGTCAATGAGGATGGCCTCCTCCTTAGTGGGTTTTACCAGAGTAGTGGGTTTACGGTGTGGGGCTGGAGCTGGGACTGGGGTACACAGGGCCTGTGTACAAGTAGGGGTGTGTCAGGGAGGGCCAGAGAGCTTCTCTCTCTCTCTCTCTCTCTCTCTCTCTCTCTCTTTCTTTCTTTCTCTCTCTCTCTTTGTCTCTTCTATATATATATATATATATGCTTTAGTCTAATATTTTATATACCTAGTTCTATCATCTATCTATATTTTGATCTCTCTCTATATCTTTGTCTGGCTTTTTTTTTTTTTCTCTCGCTCTATCTCTCTTTCTCTCTCTCTCTCTATCTCTCTCTCTCTCTCTCTTCTCTCCTCTCTCCTCTCTCTCTTCTCCCTCTCTTCTCTCTCTCTCTCTCTCTTCTTCCCCATAGCTAGAGAGCAATTATTGTGAGCCACAGGCTATTCTATTAAATATTGTTTTTTTCTTATGGTACCACAGCACACATTTATTGAAGAAGATTTTAAAACATACTTACAATGCATTACAGCTCAAATACCTTAAAATCTAAATTCAACAATCCCAAAAATATACATTTCTATTGAACATTTGAAAGTCAAATATTAGAGTAATAAAATATTATCAAGATAAGTAAACATGATTATCTAGATGAGGACATTATTTTAGCTCACAGGCATACTTTTTACAATGGTAAACAATGGTAAGCGGTCTAAAACCCCAGACTCAGTTTGAAATAGCTTCATATTGGTACAGTAGTTCTACAGATGGACTGACCTTTTATGCAATTAAGCATTCAGTTATAGTGCAACAATGAGCCCCATCTCATTTCAAAACCTTCTTCTACACTCTATTTTCTCTACACTTATACATTTCCTCCAATGGCATCTGCTCTGAAACTCATTTTAATGACCATCATAATGACAATATTTGTTTTTGTCTTGATTGTTCACGATACAATTGTATGGCACAGTTTATTGTAGTTCTTTTCTTACGCTTGATTTCATTCCAGTTTGTAGTTCTTTTCTTACACTTGATTTCATTCCAGTTTGTGCAGCCAAGGCCAACGGTGACAGGCACCAGCAAGTGTCATGATCAGGTGGTATTAAGACCACCACAGTATTAGAGAATGGGCACTTCAGTTCATGTTCTCCAGCAGGTAGTACAATTCTTTTTTCTTATCACTAGAATGGACATTCCAATTCAAGTCAATGTTCCATGATGGGTGGACCGGCTGCCATATTGAATGTACCCATCATCTATTTATATGGGTAGTTCTGTGTGTCTCTCAGTGAGAATCATCTTATAGTCTATGCTTGTTGTGCTTTTCACTCCCAGGTCTGGCTTGGTGAAGCTCATTGACAGTAAGAGAACTGAGAACATTCAAAACATATCACCTCTAAAGATCTCAGTGTGCAGCCATGGTTTTATCCTTCCATCTCTCAGTCAATTCATCCACCCGCACCCTTCAATTAACACATCAATTCATCCATTTGCCCACCCAACAGTCTGCACACCAATCTATTCATCCATTCATCCCATCCACCCACCTACCTGACAGTCAACACACCAATCCGTCCATTCAATCAATCAACAGCAACTTCACACAGGTCAATGTCTCTTCAATGTGGACCTCCTCTTAGTGTCTCTAAGCATTTCTAAGATTACGTTCTAAATGGTACCCACTCTGCCCAAACGTAGTGCACTACATAGGGAACAGATGACCATTTCAGAGGCATTCCAAATGTTTGCTATTATGGCCAATATCTCCAGTTGGCCCTGTCTGTCCCCTCTCTCTGTCCCATTAATGGTGGTATCAGAGCAATAAGAGCCTTTTGTTTCTTGATGCAGTCAGCACCAGGAGAAGGAACGTCCCACCATCTCAAAGAACAGGCGGTTGGGTTCTTTGAAGTACCGGCAGAGCTTCCTGAAGGCCCGGGAGCTGAGAGGAGCGTGGGGCCTCCCCTTGGACTCATCCAGACACTTGTCATGGCCCCCAGCAGAGAGGAGGCAGTAGAAACCTTTAGTTGTGTTGAAGTAGAAGTTGGAGGGAGTGATGCGGGGCGGCAGGTCCAGGAACCTATAGATTATTTATTTATTTAATTTAACAAGTCAGTTAAGAACAAATTCTTGTTTACAATGACAGCCTACTACAACGACAGCCTACATTAGATTAGATGAGATTAGATTCGAAAACGTTAATCTCCACAATGAGGCAACTGAATAGCATCTTACACAATATAAGTTACATACAGACAAATGTAACAGGTGAGCCATGAAAGGATCCTCTCTTTGAGGCCATTTTTTATTCAGGCCCCTATTTAATCAGGCAATCCAAAAGACTGCTATTTCCGGGCGGATGAGTCGATTAGGAGAGGGAAGATGGCGGAAATAGATGTTCTGTTGGAAACTGATGGCGGGTCGGGTAAAGATGAGAGTGAAAATGAGTAGGCTACAGTCGTGAAAAAGAAAGGAAACAGTTGTGATGGAAACTAAGAAATCCCTAGATCTGTTTATAGTCGGAGTGAGGGTTTTGGATCAATGTTACCTGGGGGATCCATTTGAAGTCACGAGGTATAACATGGATGCATTGGGTGAGGTGGCGTCGGTGGCAGCCACAAATTCTGATTTTATTCCGATTTTTCACGGAACATTGCGCCTCAAAAATATTTTTTCATGCAATGTTTTGTGAATGGATTTCCGAAGCAGGGCGCCTGTCAAGGGGGTTATCTCTGGGGTTGCGCATGAAGTGGATGCAGATGATATACCTGAGGAAGTAGATGAAGTGACTGGTGCACGTTGACTGACCTGTGTGGTGGATGGAGTAAGGAAACCCACTTCGTCCATATTATAAAGTCTCTCCCTTCTCATGTAAAGCTAGGCTTTATGAAATATCCTTTAAGAGATTTTGTGCATAAGCTCCTCCAGTGTAATACATGCGTGTCTCAAGTGTGTGCAGATGGGAAAAATATCATATGATAGCTGAGGTTATATGCTGCAACTGTGGTGACCACGGTAGGTTGGTTGCACCTTAATTGGGGAGGACGGGCTCGTGGTAATGGCTGGAGCGGATTAGGTGGAATGGTATCAAACACATCAAACACGTGGTTTGATGCCATTCCATTCGCTCCATTCCAGCCATTATTATGAGCCGTCCTCCCCTCAGCAGCCTCCACTGGTGGTGGCGAACATATGCCAGAGTCCCCTGTTAGGGTGAAGGAGACAGAGGTGGGGAGAATAAGGGTTGTCCAACATGTCTCCTATCTGGAGGCGGAGAAAAGAGACGAAGGAGCGAGTGGCGTTGAAGACGCAATGGTAATTGAGACTGCACCAATGAGTGTTTCTCGGCAATCACGGGATCCTGCTATATTACATGTAAAAAAGGTGGACTTTGTAGCATTTATTGCAATGGTCATAAACTGCACAGCACAATCAGAGAATGCTTTTAGGGACTCAGTGAGTTTACATTGCAAGAAATCTTGTCAATGGATGATCCGCCTTCACAGGCCCCTGAGCCTGTGTAGGGATATGACTTGAATTGGAATGTGACTGAAGGATTGTGATGTTATATTTTTTTGTATGTGTCCATTTTTGTTTTTGTATGATGTTGTTTTTATCCCCTTTTTCTACAATGGATATTTTTTATATAGTTTACCACCCGTACAGTAGGTGGCGGCATGCACCTCTAAAGTGTGTTTGTGGACCGCCATAATACCATATAAGATGAAGAAGAAGAAGACTGCTATTTCCGGGTCCTTTCAATGAACTTCCTGTTTGTTGTGTTCGTGTGAAAGTAGGCCAAGAATTCTCATGCCAATTGAAAGAAAATCTGAATTTTACCAACATGTACCAGCAATAGACAGGAGGCTAAATGTGTGCAAAAAGCTTGGTTGGTTAAATATGTAGGCTACAAGTTAAAGTGCATGGTGATAAAGTGTAATTTCGTCCATTTTATTCTAGTGTAAGTCTGTGTCCCAAATTGCACCCTATTTCCTACATAGTGTACTATTTTTGACTAGCCATAATAAGACTCCGACCTTACGGTCAGAACGGCAGGCTCTCCTAATTAGGACACAGTGGAGCCAGTGCGAGATATGGCTCGGAAAACATACCTCAATCCAGCGATGGGAGATGGCGTTGTACTTGAGAAGATTGAAATACTTTTTAAAGTAAACTGACTTTTTTATCCTCATGCTAGCTAGCAGTATCCCCAGCAGCCATGGTAGCCTAGCAGTTAAGAGTGTTGGGCCAGTAACCGAAAGGTCGCTGGTTTGAATCCTAGAGCCGGCAAGGTGGAAAAAATCTACAGTTCTGCCCTTGAGCAAGGCAGTTAACCCTCAACAACAACAACAGGCAGCCCCCCACACCTCTCTGATTCAGAGGAAGACACATTTTAGTTGTGCAACTGACTAGGTATCCCCTTCCCAATATGGAATGTCATGTTGAACAACAAAGGAGCTGATTGGCTGACTATCCTTCGAAAATGGCTGCTGTGGTTTTGGCTACCTAGCATCTCCATCCCTGGATTGAGGTATGTTTTCTGAGCTATATCTCGTGCCGGCTCAGTGGTTTCCTGGGCAGCCTGCCGTTCCAACCTTACAGGGAAGATGTACTTACAGTGACCATAAGGTCAAAATCTTATTATGGCTACTTTTGACCAGAGCCCTTTGTTGTGGAGTTTGGGACACGCCCAAAGATTACATTAGGTATAACATTACCTCTCCGCCCTCCGGAGCTCTGGGAAGGGGTCTCTGATGAGGGCCTCTCCGTCCACCACATGGACCTGCTCCCTGGGGAAGACATCCAGCCAGCGGTCCAGGTGCTGGTGGTACAGGCTCCTCTGCAGGGCTTTGTAGGCCGGGTCAATGTGGCCATGGCGGAGCAGTAGCTCTTCTACAATAGAAAACATAAAATAGAGTCCAATATTATTAGGTTAGAACAAAAATGTATATTGTCTTCGCTTTTTCCCAACTCTAGGCACACATATAGGTTGAGAGGAACAGGATCTGAGGTATGGAGCACTGGATGGATTGACATTTTTGGGGTTAACTGCCTTTCTCAAGGGAACAACAGTAGTGGTAGTAATCATCTGACACAAGCAGTCCCCAATTATCCATCGCCTGGGACTTGAACTAGCAACCTTTCGGTTACTGGGCTACCACTTTAACCTCGGTGCCACTTACCTAGAGACTGGTAGGGCTTGTGGCGGGTCACCCTATTATGGAGGACCTGGGTATAGTCGGAGACGAGGCGCTCTGCGGGATCCCGGACGATCAGCAGGAGTCGGACAGCAGGGTTCATCTCCCAGACCCGCTGAGGGACCTCGGGAGAGGCAAAGTAGCCAGGGGTTTTCTCCACTGTCACTTGCCCAGGCAGGGTGAAGGGCATCTGGGCACGATACCACGCCAGCCCCCGCCGGTAGTGCTCTTCCACGTTGAAGTAGTGCACCTAAAAAGAAAGTATGTAGAGTTGTTTAATGCCTTATCCCCTCCCAAAAATGTACCGCTGTAAAGTCTAGGATTTTGTCTTGTTCTTTCATTCTGTTATCCTGCATGACTATTTTCATCCCATTATGTTAAAGCTTTGAGAGTAGCCTATTGTGTGAAAGTGCTTTACAAATTAAGTTAAGATGGTCATGATGATGTTTCTGTGTCTCATTACCTCAGCCTTGGCCACCTCTACGTCCGGATGGAGGTTGAGCATCTCCAGGAGGGCCCTGGTGCCACCTTTACGCACGCCGATGATGATGACTCCAGGTAGTCGCTGCTGGGTGGCATTACGAGAGGGGGAGGATGAGGGGGAGGAATAGCCGGCAACTCTGAGCACCCGTAGACAGACACATAGCTGGGTCTGCAGTAGGAGGAGAACCAGCAGGGCTAGGAGAACAGTCCACAGCATGGTCGACTATGGGCTGTGGAGGTGGGAGGATGAGGAGGGGGAGGTACACACACACACAGGTACAGGAAGATACCCACAGGCTGTGGGGCTGGAGCAAGGAGGACGGTGGGGGTAGGGGCTCCTGGGTGAAATGGGTTCAGGATCCAGGGGTCTTCAGTGAAGAGCCTGCAAATGAAGAGTTATTTTCCACTGTCAAAAGCAGTTTTAAACATCTGAGTTCATATTTTAGTCAAATAGATGAGCTACATTTAGGGTAGAGAACTGCATGAAGACTGGAGCTGCCTCTTACACGGTGTGTCTGTATTAAGGTTGCAAAGCTACCAGTAATTTAGAAAGTTACCGGAATCTTCAGTAATTTTGGTAATTAACAAAAAAGCTATGGCAATCTATCGTAACTTTGATCATTTATATTTGAATAACTGTATTAATATATTATCAATTTATTGTATCTGTGTCCATGTTGTCCATTAGTTTCTAGTATATAGAAAATAGCCCAATTAATTAAAACAATTGTAATCAACAATGGCATTATTTCCAATTAACCCTGCAACTCTTCTAGCTATTGACTGCTCAAAACTGCCACCAGTTTGACCCCAAAACATTGACAACAAATACAGATTGACATAGTAAAAAAATAAATAAAGGATGTTTCATGCTGAAACACTCATATTAAACACCAATGGTATTCACTTAGTTGATAAAATCCTTGAAAGATACCAACCCTAGTGTGTATTGTCCCTTCATGTGTCAAACTCAATTTCCCCTCTGGGGAGCTATAATGTTAATTCAGACATTCATTGAAAGAAAAAAAAAACAAAGTATTTGGTGCAATGTCAAATTGTAAAAGTTTAACCACATGGTAGTGATGGACACTGAAATACACTACCAGTCAAAAGTTTTGACACACCTACTCATTCAAGGGTTTTTCTTTATTTGTACTATTTTTTACATTGTAGAATAATAGTGAAGACATCAAAACTATTAAATAACACATATGGAATCATGTAGTATTAAACATATCAAAATATATTTTATATTTGAGATTCTTCAAATAGCCACCCTTTGCCTTGATGACAGCTTTGCACACTCTTGGGATTCTCTCAACCAGCTTCACAAGGTAGTCACCTGGAATGCATTTCAATTAACAGGTGTGCCTTGTTAAAAGTTAATTTGTGGAATTGCTTTCCTTCTTAATGCGTTTGAGCCAATCAGTTGTGTTGTGACAAGGTAGGGGTGGTATACAGAAGACCAAGTCCATATTATGGCAAGAACAGCTCAAATAAGCAAAGAGAAACGACAGTCCATAATTTCAAGAACTTTGAAAGTTTCTTCAAGTGCAGTCGCAAAAACCATCAAGCGCTATGATGAAACTGGCTCTCACGAGGACTGCCACAGGAATGGAAGACCCAGAGTTACCTCTGCTGTAGAGGATAAGTTCATTAGAGTTACCAGCCTCAGAAATTGCAGCCCAAATAAATGCTTCACAGAGTTCAAGTAACAGACACATCTCAACATTAACTGTTCAGAGGAGACTGTGTGAATCAGGCCTTCATGGTCGAATTGCTGCATGAAACCACTACAAGAAACACGAGCAATGGTGGATTGAGTCCAAATTTGAGATTTTTGGTTCAAACGCTGTGTCTTTTTGAGACGCGGTGTGGGTGAACGGATGATCTCTGCATGTGTAGTTCCCACCGTAAAGCATGGAGGAGGAGGTGTTATGTTGTGGTGGGTGCTTTGCTGGTGACACTGTCTGTGATTTATTTAGAATTCAAGGCACACTTAACCAGCAAGTCTACCACAGCAGTCTGCAGCGATACGCCATCCCATCTGGTTTGGGCTTAGTGGGACTATCATTTGTTTTTCAACAGGACAATGACCCAAAACACACCTCCAGACTGTGTAAGGGCTATTTGACCAAGGAGAGTGATGGAATGCTGCATCAGATGACCTGGCCTCCACAATCCCCCAACCTCAACCCAACTGAGAAGGCTTGGGATGAGTCGGACGGCAGAGTGAAGGAAAAGCAGCCAACAAGTGCTCAGCATATGTGGGAAATCCGTCAAGATTGTTGGAAAAGCATTCCAGGTGAAGCTGGTTGAGAGAATGCCAAGAGTGTGCAAAGCTGTCATCAAGGCAAAGGGTGGCTGTTTGAAGAATCTCAAATATAACATATATTTTGATTTGTTTAACACTTTTTTGTTTACTACATGATTCCATGTGTGTTATTTCATAGTTTTGATGTATTCACTATTATTCTATATTGTAAAAATAAAGAAAAACCCTTGAGTAGGTGTGTCCAAACTTTTGACTGGTAGTGTATATGGATATGGACTAACATTAGAACAATTACACACAATTTACTTAGGTGGTAGAAGTAGGTTATGTGGGCTTTCTTGTATCTCTCAGTCCTGGCATGGGTGGTTCTGTCTGTCACTTGTCCTCGACAGACAGGCAACCAGTCACGGACGGAGGACTTGTAGAGAGTCGAGGCACCATGTAGACATGGTGTCTAGTTTGTTGCCGTGTCTGTGTTCACCAGGCCTTAACATCACTGTACAGCGGTGTCATACATGTAACATTATCCTTCCTCTGACTGTATTGTTGTTATTGTGTTCAGGCCAGCATGATGGGGCTGAGTTATTTATTGTGTATGTGTGTGCGTGCGTGCGTGTTGTGTGGTCCTGGAGAAGAACCTCGTCAGCGTTCGGTTCCTGTGTTCCTTTTTAATTGCACCAGCCGACCTCTCCTCTCCCCCCTAACCTCTCGTCTAGTCTCCCTGCTCGGTGTCACTTTTGTCATCATTACCTTCATCAAGTCAGCTATCAAGGCTGAAGGGTTTGTCCTGATGTTTCGTTTAGTTTGTCTTTGAAGAATTTACTCTGGAAGTGGTGGCTACTGGCTAGTATTTTTCTCTAATGTATGATATTACAGTTTTTTTCAATCACGTTGGTGAAATTTCACAAGTATGTGGTACATTTTCACAACTCTAAGCACAAATCAAAACAGATCATCAAAATGGCTTGTGTTTCAAAACTTTAAGCACATTTTCAATTGACTGAGTACGACAAACACATTCACAAAGTCATTTGTTCACTGCACCAAATCACTCTTTGAATATGGATACATTTTCAATCTAAGTATCTGCTTTTCAAAATTCAACATTCACTTTACTTTTGATATGATTTTCTTGTCATTTGTTAACAATACAATTAACTATCACTTAATCAAACTGCTCAAAACTGATAACTACTGAACCAAAAGCATGTAGTGCCTAGTTAACGTATATAGATTGATAACTGCTGAAAACTGTAATATTTTATATGCTTACCTCATAATTGTAGCAATTTTACATCAATTTATGCTGGAAGTTAAAACCAAATCATATATGGATAAAGCTGTAAATACTACATGATTCTCCATCAGCCAGTGTGCTTCAATAGGACAAAGTGGAAAGAATCACTATGTGCTACCATTAGAAATTATAGTGTAGTGTACAATGCACTGCTGAAATGGGCTACCTGGGTTGTATATAACAATATATTCTACTCATTATCTACATTTCATCGATACACTGTAAGCTGATCAATTTCAAGCAGAGTTGACAAATCTTGTAAAAAGAAAAGGCGATCTTGTACAATGTTGCCACAAAATTGGAAGCACAGAATTGTCTAGAATGTCATTGTATGCTGTACATTTCGGGAATCTTTTTATTTCAGCTCATGAAACATGGGACCAACACTTTACACGTTGTGTTTATATTTTTGTTCGGTATGTATTGAAATTATGTGGAAATAATGTTGAATCAACCAGTACGTCCCAGTGGGAAGTGGGTGCTTTCCGTGTGTGTGTCCCCCACTGTGACTCCCTGGTACGCTGGAGTATATCCCTCCTGTCGAGACGCAGCACATTCTGCTTCACTTCCACTCTGCTAATGAACCCTCTCGTTCGCTTTCTCTTTACAAAAGCCATTTTATTATTTACTATTACTCCCATTTCTCTATACTCTCCTCTTCTCGTTCTCAATCTCTCCTTTTTGTCCTTCTATATCCCTATATATCTATCTTACATATACATCATGAAGATACAGACATTAATATAATATATGATCAAATCAAATCAAATGTTATTTGTCACATGCGCCGAATACAACAGGTGTAGACCTTACAGTGAAATGCTTACTTACAAGCCCTTAACCAACAACGCAGTTTTAAGAAAAAGAAGGGAAATGCAAATAGTCCGGGTAGCCATTTGATTAGCTGTTCAGGAGTCTTATGGCTTGGGGGTAGAAGCTGTTAAGAAGCCTTTTGGACCTTCCTCTGACACTGCCTGGTATAGAGGTCCTGGATGGCAGGAAGCTTGGCCCCAGTGATGTACTGGGACGTACGCACTACCATCTGTAGTGCCTTGCGGTCGGAGGCCGAGCAGTTGCCATACCAGGCAGTGATGTAACCAGTCAGGATGTTCTCGATGGTGCAGCTGTATAACTTTTTGATGATGTGAGGACCCATGCCAAATAATTTCTGTCTCCTGAGGGGGAATAGGCTTTGTCGTGCCCTCTTCACGACTGTCTTGGTGTGTTTGGACCATGATAGCTTGTTGGTGATGTGGACACCAAGCAACTTGAAGCCCCATCGATGAGAATGGGGGCGTGCTCAGTCCTTTGTCTTGATCACGTTGAGGGAGAGGTTTGTTATCCTGGCATCACACGGCCAGGTCTCTGACCTCCTCCCTATAGGCTGTCTCATCGTTGTCGGTGATCAGGACTACCACTGTTGTGTCGTCGGCAAACTTAATGATGGTGTTGGAGTGGTGCCTGGCCATGCAGTCATGGGTGAACAGGGAGTACAGGAGGGGACTGAGCACGCACCCCTGAGGGGCCGCCGTGTTGAGGATCATGAGTAATGGTGCCTGGAGAAGATGGCTGCCGTTTTACAGCCCTCTATCCAATAGTACTATTGTGTGTGTTTTTTCGCGTTATTTGTAATTTATTCTGTACATAATGTTTCTGCCACCGTCTCTTATGACCAAAAAGAGCTTCTGGATATCAGGACAGCGATTACTCACCTCGTATTGGACAAAGATCTTTTCTTCAACGAGTCGGATGTGAAGGATATTCTACAGACACCCGACAAGGCCCAAATCCCTGTCATTCGAATGAGAAAGAGACGGAGATATCATGGACGTAGGTCGGGGTGCCTTGTAACAATTCGACAGCGAGCGAGTAAACTGCTTCTTCCATCAATCCTATTAGCCAATGTTCAATTATTTGAAAACAAATTGGAGGACCTACAAGGTTGTCCTACCAACGGGACATTAAAAACTGTAATATCTTATGTTTCACCGAGTCGTGGCTGAACGACGACATGGATAACATACCATTCTTTCAAAGCACTTCATGGCTACAGACGTGAGTGCTACGGGTCTGTAGTCATTTAGACAGGTTACCTTAGTGTTCTTGGGCATAGGGACTATGGTGGTCTGCTTGAAACATGTTGGTATTACAGACTCAATCAGGGACAGGTTGAAAATGTCAGTGAAGACACTTGCAAGTTGGTCAGCGCATGCTCGGAGTACTCCTCCTGGCAATCCATCTGGCCCTGTGGCCTTGTGAATGTTGACCTGTTTAAAGGTCTTACTCACATCGGCTACGGAGAGCGTGATCACACAGTCATCCAGAACAGCTGATGCTCTCATGCATGTCTCAGTTTTGCTTGCCTTGAAGCGAGCAAAGTTGGGGTATGTACGTACGGTCACTGTGGGGATGACGTCATCGATGCACTTATTGATGAAGCCAGTGACTGATGTGGTGTACTCCTCAATGCCATCGGAAGAATCCCGGAACATATTCCAGACTGTTCTAGCAAAACAGTCCTGTAGCTTAGCATCTGCGTCATCTGACCACTTCTTTATTGACCGAGTCACTGGTGCTTCCTGCTTTAGTTTTTGCTTGTAAGCAGGAATCAGGAGGATAGAATTATGGTCAGATTTGCCAAATGGAGGGCGAGGAAGAGCTTTGTACACATCTCTGTGTGTGGAGTAAAGGTGGTCTAGAGTTTTTCTTCCCTCTAGTTGCATTTAACATGCTGGCAGAAATTAGGGAAAACGGATTTAAGTTTCACTGCATTAAAGTCCCCGGCCACTAGGAGCGCCGCCTCTGGATGAGCGTTTTCCTGTTCGCTTCCTCTTAGTGCCAGCATCAGTTTGTGGTGGTAAATAGACAGCTACGATATAGATGAAAACTCTCTTGGTAAATAGTTTGGTCTACAGCTTATCATGATATACTCTACCTCAGGCGAGCAAAACCTCGAAACGTCCTTAATATTAGATTTCGTGCACCAGCTGTTGTTTAAAAATATACACAGACCGCCACCCCTTGTCTTACCGGAGGCGGCTGTTTTGTCTTGCCGATGCAGCGTAAACCCCGCCAGCTGTATGTTATCCATGTCGTCGTTCAGCCACGACTCGGTGAAACGTAAGATATTACCGTTTGTTATGTCCCGTTGGTCGGATATTCGTGATCGTAGCTCGTCTATTTTGTTATCCAATAATTGTACATTGGCTAATAGGACTGATGGTAGAGGCAGATTATTCACTCGCCGTCGGATCCTTACAAGGCACCCCGACCTATGTCCCCGATATCTCCATCTCTTTCTCCTGCGAATGACGGGGATTTGGGCCTTGTCGGGCGTCTGAAGTAAATCCTTTGCGTCCGACTCGTTAAAGAAAAAATCTTTGTCCAGTACGAGGTGAGTAATCGCTGTCCTGATATCCAGAAGCTCATAAGAGACGGTGGCAGAAACATTATGTACAAAATAAGTTACAAATAATGCGAAACATTTTCACCCAATGTTTAAGAAGGGACTTTTTCCCTTTATTCAGATTAAAACCCCTGACGTTCAGGTATTTGAAAAGGAAATAATCTCCCAAATATCACTATTTCTAAAACAAGCCATAGAAAGCTGGTTGCAATTTCAATTTAATCCTCCAGAAATGACAGAACAAATATTGCAACAACTATTGTGGTTAAACTCAAATATACTAATTGATAAAAAACGATTCTTTTTTGAAAAAAAAAATGGGAATGGTGGAGTTATGTTGCACATGCAGCTAACAAAAATTTATGGAAATGTGCTCTACCCAAAATTACAACCAAATAATTGCAGCATTACCGAAAAAATGGAAGAGGAAAGTGGAAAGAGGCAAAAGTAAGGAACTTGTCTGTCGGCCTTGCATTAAAGAACATAATTGGTTAAAGAAAATTGTGATAATTTAAGGACCAAAAGATTGACAGCCGTCCCATATATTTGCAAAATAGTTGGGAAGAGATATTTGACATACCGATTCCATGGCATAGTGTTTATGAACTGATACGCAAAACGACGCCGGATTCAAAACTTAGAATTTTTCAATTTAAATTGTTATATAAAATTCTTGCTACCAATAGAATGTTATTTGTATGGGGGATACAATCTTCCCAGCTCTGCCCAGCTCTGCAGAAATGTTTATTTTCAATTTACAAACTGTAGAAACAATGAGAATAGAAAGGTTCAGAACTTGTAAAACATCACAGTACAGTTGAAAAATATATGGCAAATAGAAATCCAATATGGATGGTGTTAAAAGATAGATGGGAGGTGTTGAATGGAGCTGAAGGATGGGACTAATAACAACAACTAATAACAACAAGATAACTAGTGTAAGACAAGCTGTGTCCATAATAAGTATATAGGTTATATATTGTGAGCTTTTGTGAAAGAGCACAGTTAGAAAGATATGGCATATAGAAGCATACAAGATGGACATCATGAAAATGATCGTAGGAAGTTCAGGAGTAAAAACAAACAAAATATAATTATTGACTGTGTCCATAAAATGTATATAGTATGTATAAGCATGAAGTAGAGGCCTAAGCATTGTTGTTCACTAGTTTACTCCAATTAGGGAAGGGATGGTGGGGTTGAAAAGTAATAAAGGGAAATATATATATATTTTTAATGGATATGTATGTATATATGTGTATGTATATGCGTATATGTATGTCTGTGTGTAAACGTTTTCTGTAAGTCTTCACAAGGTTTTCACACACTGTTGCTGGTATTTTGGCCCATTCCTCCATGCAGATCTCCTCTAGAGCAGTGATGTTTTGGGGCTGTCGCTGGGCAACACGGACTTTCAACTCCCTCCAAAGATTTTCTATGGGGTTGAGATCTGGAGACTGGTTAGGCCACTCCAGGCCACTCCAGGATACTTATTTTATAATTTGCAAATAAATTCATAAAAAATCCTACAATGTGATTTTCTGGATTTTTTTCCCTCAATTTGTCTGTCATAGTTGACGTGTACCTATGATGAAAATTACAGGCCTCTCTCATTTTTTTAAGTGGGAGAACTTGCACAATTGGTGGCTGACTAAATACTTTTTTCCCCCACTGTAAAATAGCAGTGCTTATTCGCTCTCTCTTGGCTAGTTTATGGGTGTGTATTTTGTTAGTTTGAGTATTGTATGGGTTGGTGGGCTGCTTCTTACTTTGTATCTAAATCTCTGTGTGTGTGTGTGTGTGTGTGTGTGTGTGTATGTGTGTGTGTGAACACACTCTGTTTGCCGTGCCATGCCTTAGAACTATATTTTGGTGAGTGCTGGTATTTGTGGTGGGGGATGTCGGGGATTATCCTGCACAGAGGGACAGAGGGAGGGATGGAGGGAGGGAAGGTGGGGAGGGGTGTGTTCTCAGCGGGAGTGTGTTTGTGTAACACAGGCAGAGAGATTGGCCCTAGTAGGAGGTGGCATGGTGAAAGCCGGTAGATTGCCAGCCTAGCTATATCACCAAGGCTGTGGGGCTGTAGATAAAGTCTCTCTCTGTTTCTCTCTCTGTTTCTCTGTTTATGTTTCTGTTTCTTTCTCTCTAGTAGTTACTCTGTCTCCTTCTCTGTCTCTCCGTTTGTTTCTTTGTTGCTCTCTCTGTCTCCTCCTTTCTCTCTCTCTGTCTCTGTTCTCCTTTCTCTCTCTTGGGCTCTCTGTGTCTCTCTTGCTCTCTGTCTCTCTCTCTCTCTGTCTCTCTCTCTCTCTCTCTCTCTCTCTCTCTGTGTGTCTCTCTCTCTCTGTGTCTCTCTCTGTGTCTCTCTCTCTCTGTGTCTCTCTCTCTCTCTGTGTCGATTTCAATTTTCCCCTCTATTCCCTCTATTTCCCTGTATTGGTCCTCTGTGGCTCAGTTGGTAGAGCTTGGCGTTTGCAACACCATGGTCGCGGGTTCGATTCCCGCTGGAGCCACCCTTATGAAAAATGCATGCAAGTCGCTTTGGAAGAAACCGTCAGCCAAATGGCATATATTCACATTAGTACTGTGAATATGTTATCATCCTTTCAGACAACTATCACAACAAAGCCAAACCATATTATTCAATATGCTTTATTGACAAAGAAAATCTAATGAAGGCTTCATATATTTTCATTCCATGTGTGGCTAGACAAAAACCATCCAAGAGGGATATATAAACAAATTCGACAGGGACATTTGAGAGAGACAAATCTGTCATGCTCATTGCATGAGTTTGGGACTACTTCAAACATTCCTCTTGCTATTCCACAAACTAGCTACCACAACAAAGCTAGCTTTCACAACAAAGACACAACAGTCATATTTAGGATCTGGAATACTTTCTAATTGTATGACTAGGTAAACAATCGTTTTTCCTGGTCACGTCACATGGTCAGGAACAACTCCTGACACAGGCAAGCTGCCCTGTCTGGGAAAGTACTGTGTGTGCAACTTTTCAGAACGCGGCTGGGAAATGGGTCTATATGACAACGTTTCTTTCATTTTCTCCTTGAGCCCATGCAGCATCTGAATGTGTCATAGTATCTGTCTGTGTGTGTGTTTGTGTGCCAAAGAAGCACTCCTAAAGCCTTAAAAATAGTATTCCTCCTTTACATGAACGGGCTTGTTTGAACATCAGATCTCTTTCAGAAGAATGAGGGTTCAAAAGAGAGGGAGGGGGAAAGGGAGAGTTCTGGAGATAACGACTGTTTCCGGGGGTCCAAAAAGTCTCTATTTCCCTACCCCCTCTCTCTCTCACTCCCTCTCCCTCTCGCTCTCTCTCTGTCTCTCTCCCTTTCTCTCCAGCAAAGACACTGACCACAGAAATCTGCCCATCGACCCCCGACTGGGTTTCAAATTAGATCCTATAGAAAAACTCCACACCAGCCGCCCAACCCTCTCCCCCCTCACACACACTCTCCCCAACCCTCTCCCCCCTCACACACACTCTCCCCAATCCTCTCCCCCCTCACATACACCCCACCCCAGACACCCTTTTCTCTCCCTCCCCAGCCGTTCGCGCTTGAAGATCTGGGTCAATCGTATCAAACACTCGAAAGAGCTCTCTAGTGTGTGTGTGTATGGCGCATTGATAATGAGGATGGTGGTGTGTGTGTGTGTGTATGTATGTATATGTGTGTGTGTGTGTCAGAGAGATGAGCAGGGGGATTTCTTGGTTAAAAACAGGGTGTATCGGGAGAGTGTGTATGTGTTTGTAAAAGACAGCGGGAAAGTGTGTGTGTTTGTGATCTAATTAAAGATGCCTTTGGCATGCGTGTCTGGGTGCAGGCGTTGGCATACACCCCATGCTAATGTCTGGAGTGTGAGTTTACTGTTCGTGGCAGTCTGGCACAGGGCTGTGTGCATGCGTGAGTGTGAAAACATGGCAACTTGTGCCATTCAGATTTGGAGCGGTCAGACAGACAGAGAGGGAAATTCCTACTCACAGCCTCTCTTTTCCACCTGCCCCTTCTCTCTCGATTTATTTTATTTTTTTGTCATTTAGCAGACACTCTTATCCAGAGCGATTTACAGGAGCAATTAGGGTTAAGTGTCTTGCTCAAGGGCACATCGACAGATTTTTCACCTAGTCGGCTCGGAGATTAGAACCAGTGACCTTTCGGTAACTGGCACTACGCTCTTAACCACTAAGCTACCTGCCGCCCTTTCTCCCTTTCTTCTCTCTGATTTATTTATCTTTCACTTTCTCTGTCGATCTTTCATCCAAACGCTTTGAAGGGACATAAGACTTAACATTTGAATCTTTCCCTCCTTTTTGTTACTTTGCATATTTTGATGATTTCTTACCTGTCACGACTTCCTCCGAAGCACATTGACTCTGTACCAGTACCCCCTGTATATAGCCTCCCTACTGTTATTTTATTTTACTGCTGCTCTTTAAATATTTTCTATTTTCAATTTTTCACTTCTCAATTTTTTTTCTTAAAAACTGAGAGAGAGAGAGAGAGATGCTCACAGTCCCATGTAGCACATATGTTGGTTTTCACACAGTAACGTACTGTAGCTCTGACTGTCTGCTGTCACTATCTGGCCCATTAATTCACAGTGTATACAACAAACCAGGTTTGACACCCGAATCACTGATGGAGTGAAAGCAGGACACAGGGGGGCTCCTCTGTTCTCTTTTCTCATCTTCTCTTCTTCTCTATTTGTCTATTTGTCTCACTTCCTCTCTTACTCCACTTTCTCATTCAGCAATGTGCTTGTGTAGCTCCAGTCACTCATTTAACTGTTTGTTGTCAAGAGAAAGTCAATACTGATCCGTCTGTATGTGTGTCTGTATGTGGGTCCACCGAGAGTCTGTGTCAGCGTCAATTAGGATCTATGTGTGTGGGCAGGGTGTGTGTGTGTATGTGTGTACTGTACTGTACTGTATATGAGCAAGGATGTGTGTATGTGATTTGGGGGATGTGTGTTTGCGTATGGGTGTTTGGAATGGGGGCACGTTGACAGATGGGGGGAGGTCTGTCTGGTCAATATCCTCATGGGCCAGTGAACAGTGGTGTAATGTACTCAAGTAAAAATACTTTAAAGTACTACTTAAGTAGTTTTTGGGGGTATCTGTACTTTACTTTACTATTTATAGTTTTAACTATTTTTACTTTTACTTCACTACATTCCTAAAGAAAATAATGTACTTTTTACTCCATACATTTTCCCTGACACCCAAAAGTACTTGTTACATTTCGAATGCTTAGCAGGACAGGAAAATAGTCCAATTCACTCACTTATCAAGAGAACATCCCAGGTCACCCCTACTGCCTCTGATCTGTCCGACTTGCTAAACACAAATGCTTCACTTGTAAATGATGAGTGTTGGAGTGTGCCCCTGGCTACATTAAATTAAATTAAATAAAGAAAATTGTGCTGTCTGGTTTGCTTAATATAAGGAATGTGAAATTATTTATACTTTTATTTCTCATTTTGATACTTAAGTATATTTTAGCAATACCATTGACGTTTGATACTTAAGTATATTTAAAACCAAATACTTTTAGACTTTTACTCAAGTAGTGTTTTACTGGGTGACTTAAGGTATCTTTACCTTTACTCAAGTATGACAATTGGGTACTTTTTCCACCACTGCCAGCGAACCTAACTACTGTATATAATGTGGGTCCTGAACTCTGCCTATGTAGGTTTAATATGGGAAGAGGGTACAGAAGAGATGAAGACAGGAGGAGAGAGGAGGAGAGAGGAGGAGAAAGGAGGAGAGAGGAGGAGAAAGGAGGAGAGAGGAGGAGAAAGGATGAGAGAGAGGAGGAGGAGGACGAGGAAAGGAGGAGAGGAGCGAGAGGGAGGAGGAGAGAGAGGAGAAAGGAGAGAGGAGGAGAGAGAAGAAGGAGGAGAGGGGAGAGAGAGGGAGAGAGGAGGAGAGAGCGGAGGGAGGGACAGAGGAGAGGAGGAGCGGATGAGAGAGGAGGAGAGGAAAGAGGAGGAGAGAGGAGAGAGAGGAGGAGACAGAGTAAAGCTGATGATGTACTGTAGAATGTAGTAGAGGAATGAGTGTGAGAGGAGAGAAGGACCTAAAACCATTCTTTATAGCCCTCTCACCTGGGGCCATGAGACTAAGATGGAGAGATGAAGGAAGGGGGAGAAAGAGAGGGAGAGAGAGGGGAACCGAGGAAGAGAAAGACAAAGAAAGAGGAAGTTGAAAGAGGGAGCGAAAGATGAAAAGGGAAGAGGGTGGCTCTTTATTTATTTCTCTCTCTCTCTCTCTCTCTCTCTCTCTCTCTCTCTCCTCTCTCTCTCTCTCTCTCTCTCTCTCTGTCCTTCTCTCTCTCTCTGTTCTTCTCTCTCTGTCCCTCATATTCTCATAGTGGTTCTCTGTGACATATCTAATAGCCTGTGTGCCTCTGTGCTGTGTACCCCACTGCTTCTCCAGACTGACACACACACACACACACACACACACACACACACACACACCACACACTGAGATGAGGGGGGCGAAGGGGGAAACATTAGAACATTAAGGTTTTAGCAGGGGGATTTGATTGACCAAGCACTTAAGACTATTAAATGGCTTTATCGCCCGCCTCACCCTCTTGCTCACCACCCTCTCACCCTACCTCTCCGCCCTTCCTCTCCCCATACCCAAGTTCCTCAGGCATCTCAACGTGACTGGTAAATTAATGAGGTACGAAACCAAGCGATGGGACCAAAAACCATAACCCCCAATCAATATACCCCCCCAACTCTACCACTATCCCCCACCCCCCATCCCCCCCCCCCCCCCTACCCCCCAACCCACCCCCACCCCCCCCCCCCCCCCCCCCCCCCCCCCCACCCCCCCCCCCCCCCCCCCCCCCCCCCCCTCACTCCCACCTTGGGCTTTCAGCTTAAACCCCTTGTGTGGTGTTTTCACTATCAAGGTTAAACCAATGCCATTTACAGAAGTACAGTATTGCCCAACAGAGATGTGTCAATGCCACTGTCTGCTGTCCTTCATCTGTTTTTTGGGGACAGACAGTTTACAGTTGCACAAACTGATAAATACAAATTGGGTTGATTGGATTTAATTGATTGACACAACAGCATGGAAGCTCTGTCAGTCAGTGGGTGTGTTATAGGACAGGGTCTTCAGAGTCCAGTACTATATTGGCATTTCCTCTACCATGCCCTTTATCCTCCACCCGTCCACCCTACTACCCTGACCCTAATCCTACCCAGGGGCTTCATGACCACACAGACTAGGCCCACCCAAACAGTCCACCCAGAGCTCCCTGAGGTCCTGACTCTCTGCCCCACTCTATCCCACCTTATCTTAACCACTGCCCAGCAACCCCAAAGAGCTAAACCCAGACCCAAATAGCCAGACCTAGCCTAACCCCAGAAAAACCGTCTGTGTGTCCGTCCATCCGTCTGTCTGTGCTTGTGTGTAATGTGGGGCCTCTCTAGCTCCCTCCATCTGGTGGTCAGTGGGTGATCCTGTCACCTCTCCTTAAACCAACTGGAGTGTGATGGTCTAGCAAACACTGACTCTGTCTCCATACAGGTTAGACTGTGTGTGTGTGTGTGTGTGTGTTTCTATGATGAGCTGAGGTCATTGTGCAGTTGTGCCACCTGTACTGTAAGGAGATAGGACCTTTGCCCCAACTGACTGACATGGTGGATGACTGCCAGGTTAATGAACTTTCCCCCTGAGCTCCTGTAAACACACACTCTGTTAACAATCAGCTAAATGCACACTCGCTTAGTTAAATAACACTCCGCTAGATGACCTGAACAACATCAGCAGTTGGCTATTTCTGGTGAGAAAATAGTCTGAGAAAGGTATTGTAGATTCTGTCGATTTAGAATGTGAAGTAAAGCCTCGCAACACACACTTCCCGTCCCCCCTCCCACTGTAACTTTTGGAGTGTGTAGCTGTAGCATGCGCCTCATTTCCCTCCAGAGGACTTGCTCTCTGCTCATAAATAATGTCCATGTATTATTCACAGCTGCTTCGCAAGCTCCCCCTGCTAATGCCTCCTAATGTGCCCAAACACACAGCTTCCACACAGCCTGGCCCTGGCCTGCACTCACACACTCACAGGGCCAGGTGACACAGTGACGGACAGAGCCTCCCTGTGCAGGCCAGTGCACAGGGAGGCTGGGTGACTCTCTCTGTCATTCTCTCTCTCTGTGTTTCTCTGTCCATTACTCTCTCTTGTTTCTGTATATCTCTCTCACTCCCTCTCTCTGTTTCTTTATCTCTATACCTCTCCCCCTCTTTAACTATCTCTACATTGTCCTCTCTAACATTTTTTGTCATTTAACAGACGCTCTTATCCAGAACGATTTACAGGAGCAATTAGGGGATTCTTCAATGATCTTAACCGCTAGGGTACCTGACGCCCTCTCTGTAGCTTCCTTGTCTCTATGTCTACACATGCCTACACATCCATCATAGTTTCTGACTGAGCATTGACTCAGTTAGCTTGAGGACACAGTGTGACAAAGCCAGGGTACGGTATTACGACAGAGTAAATCTCATCAATATGTAACAGTGCCTTAGTGACTCCGCTTAGGAGGTGAATGCAGTCTACATGAAGAGAGGTCGTAATGTACAGTACACTAGGGCACATGCTGTATGATAAGAATAACTATTTCCAAAGTACAGTACTACGTGCTTTTTATTTTTCATGACCTTCAAAGAGCTAAAACAAAGTAATGTTACCACTATTGACATAGTAAAAACGTTGTCCCTGTCATCGGGGATAAATGCACTCATCGGTCATAATGCACTCTTGACCCAGCCATGTGGGGATTTTGTTTATCAAGCCAAGATGTCTTGGCTCCTCACATCACATGATGCTGTTGTCCCAGTTAGTGACTAATTCAGAGACAGAGGCTCCATTCACTCTGACCATGTCTCTCCCCCTCTCTATCGCTCCCCCTCTCTCTATCTCTCCCCCTGTCTCTATCGCTCCCCCTCTCTCTATCTCTCCCCCTCTCTCTCTCTCTCCCCCTCTCTCTCTCTCTCCCTCTGTATCTCTCTGACCACATTTACCCTTTCCAAACATTACAAAGGTCAAACACGCTTTGGTTAGTTGTACTTTTACTACTGTGGCTGGAGGTTTCTGGAAATCTGAAAATATACATGTTGTGGGCTCATTTTCAATTAGCATAAAAAGAGAATGGCAAAAACTTTGGCAATTGATGTACAATGAATCTTGACTTGAAGTTCATCTTTAGCCCACGTCATGGATGAGTTAGAGAGGTTGGTTGGCTTACTCACAACATGATTGATATGACAGGATCAAGAACATGATGTTCACATACTGAATCAGACTGTTGTGGTTGGTTTTCACTACCCGGGAGTTGTGATCTACCAGTGACACATGCCAGATTAGTTAGAGAGGTTGGCTCATGACGGATATGACTATCATGAACAGGATGTTCAGTATCTGAGTCTGAGGCAGTTGTGGTTTATACTACCCTGGAGTTGTTATCCACTATTGGTGTGTAATACATGCAGCCCACAACACATAATAATATAATATGCCATTTAGCAGACGCTTTTATCCAAAGTGACTTACAGTCATGCGTGCATACATTTTTTGTGTATGGGTGGTCCCGGGGATCGAACCCACTACCTTGGCGTTACAAGCGCCGTGCTCTACCAGCTGAGCTACAGAGGACCACACATGCTGCGTGTCCACCACTACCTTTTATCCATATACCACAAGTCTTCCACTAGCTGTTGCTTAACAGACCATATTATCATAAATCTCTCTCTCTCTCTCTCTCTCTCTCTCTCTCTCTCTCTTCCTCTCTCTGCCAGCATCTATCTCTCTCCTCTCTCTCGCACACACACGCACGCACGCGCACACACACACACACACACACACACATATACACACACACACACACAAACTGTATGACTATCCCAACAAAGTGACATTAACAGACCATTCCCACTGGGCACCGACTTCAGTTAATGTCACAATGTCATTGGATTTAGGTTAACCCCCTAGAGTCGATGTCCGCTCCCCCGCAGACATTTTATTAGCATAATACACAAATAAAGAATAAAAAAAAAAAAATCTGTCCCCTTTAGCTACCGATATCAGGTTTTTGCACTGGATGCATCTCAATCCACCGCATCCGCCGATGTCGCACTTCTGCATCTGCGGTGAAAGGTGACAGAGCTAGAGCGGTGTTTGTCAGACCATGAGACATCCCGAAAATCGGTTTTCTCACAAAATCGTATGTAGCGTCCGAATGGTTTATGACCCCTCTATGGAAAGACAAGACTCTCACGAACACGATGGTGTTCTCCATTTTGCTCTACGACCCCAACAAGCGTCTGAAGTCGGTACAGCCGATCTGCCAACTTCTGTATGTAGAGTCCGAACAGTTTGGGCTACATACTAATATGACCCCTCTGTGGAAAGGTGAGACTCTCACGAACACGTACATGTCGGTTGCTCTAGGATGCCCACAGGCCTCACAAGACTCATCTGAAGGTCCCCCGGTAACAGTTGAAACATTTTATGGAAGTATACAGTATATGGAAACTGTTTAGTGCCAAAAATAAGGGGTTAAATACATGTAAAAAAAATTATATATGAGAGATATATATATGACCCCTTATTTTTGGCACTAAACAGACACTTCAGAACAAACTTTTTGGGGATTATCTGTTGTTCCATGTAGTGAATCTGTTATTATATGCGTTTGTATGGGCTAATAGCAGTAAGGCCAAATAAAACTTTATCAAATATGTGGATATATATATATATTGTACCAGTCAAAAGTTTGGACACACCTACTCATTCAATGGTTTTTCTTTATTTGAGAGAATGCCAAGAGTGTGCAAAGCTGTCATCAAGGCAAAGGGTGGCTACTAAATATATTTTGATTTGTTTAACACTTTTTTGGTTACTACATGATTCCATATGTGTTATTTCATAATTTTGATGTCTTCACTATTATTCTACAATGTAGAAAATAGTAAAAATAAAGAACAACCCTTGAATGAGTAGGTGTGTCCAAACTTTTGACTGATACTGTATATATATATATATATATATATATATATATATATATATATATATATATATATTATACTTCAAGGGATCTTAATATTTAAAATGAAATTGCAAAATTATCCTTGGTATGATGTTCTTAAAACAATTCTATATAGCTTAGTAGAATCTTATGTAGATTACTTATTGCAAATTTGAGTTAGATGGAGAGTAAGTGATAGAGAAAGTGTGAGTGAGTGTGTGAAAAAGAGAGAGAGAGAGAGAGAGAGAGACGTCTTACCGGAGTCAATGTGACACTGGACCTCTGTCTAGGCTTTCTTCCTCCTCGTTTCCTCTCCTATCAACTCCTCTGTGTCTGTTCTCCTCTCAAAGCCTCTGAGAAAATCTAAGTGGTAGATGTCTCCGTTCTACGTTTTCCCTTTCTCCTCCTTTATTTCCTTCTTTCCTTTTCTTCCTCTTTCCTCTTCTCTGTTGTTTGCTTGCCCCGCGATGTGTGTGTGTCTCTGCCTCTGTGTCAAAAAGAGTGAGTGAGTGAGTGAGAGTGGGGTGTTGAGTGTGATTCTGTTGAGTGTCAGAGCGACTGACTGACTGACTGAGAGAGAGAGAGAGAGAGAGAGAGAGAGAGAGAGAGCGAGAGAGAGAGAGAGAGAGAGAGAGTAGAGCTAGCACAAACACATCGACCCCTTAGGGAAATTCCTGCTCACCGCCTCTCTTTTCCACCTGCCCCCTCTCTCTCCATCAACCGCTCTCTCCCTTTCTTCTCTCTGATTTATTTATCTTTCACTTTCTCTGTCGATCTTTCATCCAAACGCTTTGAAGGGACATAAGACTTAACATTTGAATCTTTCCCTCCTTTTTGTTACTTTGCATATTTTGATGATTTCTTACCTGTCACGACTTCCTCCGAAGCACATTGACTCTGTACCGGTACCCCCTGTATATAGCCTCCCTACTGTTATTTTATTTTACTGCTGCTCTTTAATTATTTTCTATTTTCTCTTTTTTTCTTATCAATTTTTTTTCTTAAAATCTGCATTGTTGGTTAAGGGCTTGTAAGTAAGCATTTCACTGTAAGGTCTACACCTGTTGTATTCGGCGCATGCGTCAAATAACATTTGATTTGATTTAATGGATTTTTCAACCTTGCCATTTCTCATACCATTCAATATAGACAGTCATTTGAGAATGAGACTTTGAGTAAAAATCTTTTACCTTTTCAGTTTATTGCTGGGAGACTGTGCTTATCACTTGACAGAAAGTGGAATTAGTGGCACTTATGAATAAGCTCTGAAGGTTTTTTCTCTCCTCGATCAAGATTGTTGAAAGCTTTGGGAAAGGCAAGCATATCTTAGCCTTTGTGTAATTTCCTTGATTTTGTAAGGAACGTATTAGCAGTAGTAATTATTGTAGAATAGATGAGAGCAGCAAATGTACCGAGTCCACCTCAGTTTCCAATGATCGAGACACATCACCAATGTACTTATCAAAATGCTCAAGGTTCCACAGACAATCAATGCATTAATTATAACCTTTAATCAGGAATGCGTGTTCTGAATGAGTTTATTGGATTCATACAATCTAGGTGAACAACTGTAATATTGTTCAGATTTGGTTGGAGGTTGGAGTATGGTGTTTTTATCACCAGAATTGTAGGTCTGATTTGCACATGGGCAACATACAAACTGTACACTGTAAGCCTGAAAGCCTTTGTTAAATTACCATAGTAATATCTAAAAGTACATGAATGGCTGAAAGGCTATTGAATAAGACTAAGCTCCTCAAGTGACCTTTGGGATAAGACTCCCAGACAGGTGTATTGGAGGGGTCTCATGATCTCATCCCATTGGACCGATTACATTCTTCAGCTTTAGCCCCATAATCTGTTCTTCTATAACCCCCCCCCCCCCCCCCCATATACCACATAGATAGATAGATACACTGGAGAAAGAGTAGAGGAAGATATTAGGGAGATGGGGGTTGTAGAAATGAAATTTGGAGACTCCCTGCTATTACAACATCTCCAGAAAGCACCACACCACCAAATCCCCCCCACACACACCTCCCCCAACCCCCACATACACACACACCCTTTATTTGCTGCATATGCCCTTTTCAACAGTTATATTAGTCTCTATTTGTGTCTCTGCGCACTCTGTGTTTTTTGGTGGGGGGTACGCAGAGGGAGGGATTTTCGGTGTCTTTTTTTTTCAAAAACGAAAAGCTGCCCCCCGTCAAGGTTCTCCGTGGGGGGTGCACTTCACCGAGCAACCCTGCTCCTTCTCTTCTCCTAGACCCCTGGGACCCTCTCATCCCCCCTCTACTCCTCCCTCTCACCCCTCGTTCTCTTCCCCTTTCCCTCCCTTCCTCATTCATCTCATCACCCAATCCTCCCTCCCTTCTTTCCTCGTTAGTTCATCACCTCTCTTCATCTCCTCCCGATGCTCCAGCTACCTAGAGCTCTGATCCCAGTTTTCCATCGAAGGCCCCCAACTTTTCTCTTCCTCTTTGTCTCCTTCTCAGACTGTGTCTGGGTCTGAAGTCTGCCTCTCTCCTCCCAGACGCTTCTTAGCTTATCTCCCTCCTCTCTCCCCACGGTCTTCCCTCCCTCCCTCCTCCTCCTCCTCCTCCTCCCTCCCCTCCTCCTCCTCCTCCTCCCTCCCCTCCACCTCCTCCTCCTCCCTCCTCCCTCCTCTTTTATCTTCTTCATGAAAAACACTTTTTCATGCGCGCGCCTCTTTATTTTTGGTCATACTTTATTTGGATAGCCTGGATTCTCCATCTGTAGAAGCTCTACAGATGTTCATACTATCAACAAACTATCTGTTGATAAGCATCTGCTTGCTAAGGCTACGGTTAGGGTTAGGGTAAGGTTTAGAATAAGGGTTAAGGTAAGGGTTAAGGTTAGGGCTAGGGTTAGGTGTTAAGGGTTAAGGTTAGGGTTAGATAGTTAGTTGAAATGTTACTGATAGTCTGTAGAGCATCTAAAGATGGTCTTTCCAAATAATGTGTTACCTATTTTTGATTTTCAAGGCAATTCTGAATGGGATTTTGTGCGCGGCAGTCGGGCGATGAGAAACCCAGAGGGTGGCCCGCTATAGGGGGTTGCGGGCGATGTCTCGGAATAAATAAGCATGGGTAATTTGCTCGAGACCTGTGCTCTCTCCGAGTTTTTTCTTTCGAAGGCGCTCCTTCACTCCACACGGAAAAGAACAGAACAGAGGCAGTCTAGAAGATAAAGACCCAATGAAATGGCGTGAGATCCTCGCATGGACTCATTATATGGCTGTCAGAGAAGTTTTCTCTCTTTCTTTTTGTGATCTGTCCTCAGCCTCCCTGCTGCTTTCTTACCTTTCTTCCCCAAGGCTAAATGATCTTTATTACATATTCGTTTAAGTGGTTGTGTGTGTATAGGGGAATTGGTTTCAATTTTCAATCTATGCCATTACTTTGCTACTACATGAGTGCAAGGCCAAAGCTAGATTTAAGGTATGGTTATTGGTTTTATCAGTATGTATGGTTAAAAAACATATTACATGTAGGCTAATTTTATGACTAACCTGTGTTTCACCTTAAAACATTCTCATAGAATGACACCTGACTTCAACATTAATTGATGGTTAAAATATTACATTGGCAAACAGCACAAAAAATATTTGTTCCTCCTTTCATATTACTCTGTATTTGATTAAAGCAGTGAATAATTAATGGGTTTTAATGAATGATTATCTAAAGCATATGATTAACTCACAGTTCCTTTCACATACCCATCTCTCTCTGTTTCTATTGCTCACTTGCCTTTCTTCTTTCTCCTCGTCTTCCTTTTCTCTTTCTTCTAGGTCTTTCTTCTTTCATTGTGGCGCTTTCTTGCTTTCGGGGAGGGGTCTTCTGGCTTTCTTCGAGGGTCTTTCTTTATTTCTTTCTTTTCTTTCTTTCTTCTTCTCTCACACACACACACACACACACACACACAACACACACACACACACACACACACACACACACACACACACACACACACACACACACACACACACACACACACACACACTCATTCATTCACGGCCCAGTGTCCCAGACTAGTCTGTAGTGTGAAAGACATGTCAACTGTGAACATCAGGAATTAATAATGCAAGACAGGAAGCAACCCCCACAACAACAACAAAGCACTACACTCAGCCTCTACAAGAACCGCTATACTTTACAACCTGCCATGTGTGTGTGTGTGTGTGTCTGTGTGTGTGTGCGTGTGTGCTATAAAAACATCTGTAGTGATGGCACACTGTCAGACAGTAGAATAGGTGCTATAGTCGTTAAGTTTCTTCTCCACCCTGAAGTCTTGCTTCACTCGGTTTCTCTATTGCCTTCTCCAATAAAAATAACCTTCATGACTGTGAAATGTAGACATCATTTAATTATGGGCTGCATTTGGCTGTTATGGCGTGCATTTATACAGCTCCTTTTCACTGGGTCTCAAGGTGCTTTACGTTGCCATTTACCTCATCCACCGTCCATGTAGCAGCACTCCTCAGAGTACGAACGCACTAACAATCTTTTTCTCTTCTTCAATCAGAAATGAGATCATTCAACAGTCAAAAACACAAGACAAACCCCACTTTGGGAACATTTGGTCAAAGAGAGTTTGGCCCAGACTTACAGCAGCACTGCTCCTAGTTGGGTGTCTCTTAGTTCTATGGCATATGGTTCTCTTTAGAATCATCTATGGTTCTCTTTAGAATCATCTATGGTTCTCTTTAGAATTCAAAGGTGACCAAAGTAAGTTCATTAGCTATTGATGCGTTGTGTAGTCGCGGCCACTGAGCCAAACTAAAAAAGAGACACTAATTAAGCATAGAAATAGAATTACAGAACATTGACTTAAATGGGAATGTTTGTTCTAGTAAATATATTTCTGTGTAATTAGGTATCCACTGCCAGCTGGGGAGGGTGAACTCCTGCTCTCCCTCAATGGCCCGTGTTCATAAAGCATCTCAGAGTAGGAGTGCTGATCTAGGTTCAGTTTTGCCTTTCAGATCATAATGAATAAGATGATATGGACATGGGGGACCTGATCCTAGATCAGCACTTCTACTCTGAGCCGCTTTATGAAAACAGGCCCTGGTGTTTTTGTGTCTCCTCGTTTGTGAATGTGCCCAGGAAGTAAGTGAGGACCCACCTGTCACCATGGCTAAGGCCTGTGTGATTGCATCAAGTTAGTTGTTTGAACTTCAAGCCAAAGCACTTGTTTGGACTTCTGTCTTTGAGTGTGTTCCAATGGAGGTAATGAGCTGGGAGGAAACCATATGTGAAGGGTTGCTGGAAAAAAGGGTTGGAGGTGCACAGCAAATTCTCCAGTGTTAACTCAACACTAACCACGTTTCCATCCAACCATTTCATGCAGATGAATTACCTGACACATGAAAGAAGTCACGACCGGGCTAATGGAAACACGGAATACCGGTACAATTGTATAAATGCCGACAGACAATTTCTTCATTCGACATGGTGAGTTCTTTTTGTGTCTTTAAAATTAGTTATGCGAGAAATGTCAGTGGAAACCATCATATCAAAGTAAACTTGGAGTCACACGATGATATGTTGTGTGGTCCTCCCACTAAGACTCGGGGAAAGCATGCAGTTCATTAGGCTACAGATGAAATAAGTTATGATGAACTTCACAGGGTGGTAAAAGTGCAAGGTGATGAGCTTGATGCTCCTTTCCAATAAATATCGAGGGTCTTATTCAGGTGACATGATGATTGATGCTTGGCTGCCATTTGACAAATACAAATAATATCGCTCTCATCCATAATAATCTCAAAGTGTAGGTAGCCTACTCGCACTGTACCTGTATCTGTGACCTGTTGGCCAAGACCAGAGTGGGCACATTTGCAATATAACGCAACTGTTTTTGTGACAAAACCATCAGTAGAGTTGAAAATGCTACGGAAACCCATTTAACTTGTATTTTTCATTCGGTACATGAGAATTTAATGGCAAAAGTTATTTTTATAGGCCTCCCAAGTGGCGCAGCGGTCTGAGGCACTGCACCGCAGTGCTTCAGGCGTCACTACAGACCCGTGTTCGATCCCAGGCTGTGTCACAACCGGCCGTATCCGGGATTACCACAGGGCGGCACTTGGCTCATTGTAATCTAGTGAGTCCTTGTGGCAGGCCGGGCACCTGCAAGCTGGCTTCGGTCATCAGTTGAACGGTGTTTCCTCTGAAACGTTGGTGCGGCTGGCTTCTGGGTTAAGCAGGCGGGTGTTAAGAAGTGCGGTTAGGCGGGTCATGTTTCGGAGGACGCATGACTCGACCTTCGCCTCTCCCGAGCCCATTGGGGAGTTGCAGCGATGAGACAAGATTGTAATTGAATCGCAATTGGATATCACGAAAAAGGGGGTAAAACAATTTTAAATGTTTTTTATGTGCACTTCATCATCACGCACAGTCTTTTATCCACAAAAAGTCTGTTTGATTTGGTGGCAAAATGCGCATATTGTTCTATGCAGATTTTAGAATATTTGCATGAAAATCTGTCGCAAATTGGATGGAAACATACAGTTGAAGTCGGAAGTTTACATACACTTAGGTTGGAGTCATTAAAACTTGTTTTTCCACCACTCCACAAATGTATTGTTATCAAACTATAGTTTTGGCAAATCGGTTAGGACATCTACTTTGTGCATGACACAAGTAATTTTTCCAACAATTGTTTACAGACAGATTATTTCACTTATAATTCACAATTCTAGTGGGTCAGAAGTTTACATACACTAAGTTGACTGTGCCTTTAAACAGCTTGGAAAATTCCAGAAAATTATGTCATGGCTTTAGAAGCTTCTGATAGGCTAATTGACATAATTTGAGTCAATTGGAGGTGTACCTGTGGATGTATTTCAAGGCCTACCTTCAAACTCAGTGCCTCTTTGCTTGACATCATGGGAAAATCAAAAGAAATCAGCCAAGACCTCAGAAAATAAATTGTAGACCTCCACAAGTCTGGTTCATCCTTGGGAGCAATTTCCAAATGCCTGAAGGTACCACGTTCATCTGTACAAACAATAGTATGCAAGCATACACACCATGGGACCAAGCAGCCGTCATACCGCTCAGGAAGGAGATGCGTTCTGTCTCCTAGAGATTAACGTACTTTGGTGCATAAAGTGCAAATCAATCCCAGAACAACAGCAAAGGACCTTGTGAAGATGCTGGAGGAAACAGGTACAAAATTATCTATATCCACAGTAAAACGAGTCCTATATCGACATAAACTGAAAGGCCTCTCAGCAAGGAAGAAGCCACTGCTCCAAAACCGCCATAAAAAAGCATGGGGACAACGATCTTACTTTTTGGAGAAATGTCCTCTGGT